GAAAAAAACTCTTTTAAAAAAAAAAAAAAAAAAAAAAAGGCCTGCTCTTGGGGTATGCACTTGCCAGAGAAAGAGAGAAAGTACTCTCCCATAGGAGGTAGGCACACCTAAGCCCTTCTCCGTTTTTCCATCATGCAAGCACACTCAGCAGCCATGTTTTTCAAGCCTTCAAACCTCTAGTTGGGAGTGGGGGGGGAGAGGGCAGCTGGTAGCATGGTAGTTGGAGGCTGGATTCCCACATGACCGACTATGGTTCAAGCCCCAAACCTGGCAGCTTGCTTTCTCTCTCTCTCTCTCTCTCTCTCTCTCTGTCTCTGGTCAAATTTTTTAAAATAACAAATAGAATAAAAAAATAAATCTTTAAAAAAAAAAAAACACCTCTAGGTGGGAACTCAAACCTCAGTGATCATGTGGGATCCAGCTTCCCTTAAGCACTAGGCTAGGAGCAGGCCATTAAAGTCTATTTCTAATCCTTTCATATATAAAGTGCCCCCCAAAGCTGGAGCCTTGCGTGTGTGGGAGAGGAGCAAGAACAGAAAACAGGATGTACAAACACAGATGGAGATTTAGAGAAAAAAGAGGAAGAGAAATGCCCCAACTCTAACTGTGCTGTCTCTGGACCTTGGGATACAAGAGGCTTTATTTTGTTACTGTCTGCTTATTCTGCTTTGTTAAGTTTCAAGTTTTCTTCAAATATAATGTGTTAAATAGCTTTTTCACGTATTAAATTTTAATATGTTAAAAGACCCCATAATAAACATTTCTAGAAAAGTTCCTCATGCAACTACGAACCTGGACGTTTCCATTTCAAGCTCTTGCGTGTTGAGCCCCCTTTTGTGCCTAGGGGTCCCAGCTAGCCTCTCCTGGGTGCGCTGCCCGTCTCGTTGCCATGGAGACCAACCTTGGCGTACCGACTTGAGCTGCGCGGGCCTGGGGGCTGGAACTAGGCGAGCCAACGTCTGGCAACAGGCGGCTGTTAGAAGGAGGAGCCACGGAAAGCGGCGTCTCTGCTGAAAGGCCCAGCGGACCCTGCAGAGGGCCCCTGCACGGCTGGCCCCGCCCTGTCGCACCCACCGCGGGTGGTAGAAATACAGCTGCAGCCGTCGCTCGCCAGCTGTGCTGCGACTTGCCCCAGAGCTGACCGCGCAGACCCAGTTGACCGACCTGTCCGCGCTCAGTGCCAATGGCTGACGGACTCTTTCAGCGCAAACCCTGGGGCCGGGAGCAGCCTCGTCCGGACCCCGACACTGAATCCGAAGAGCTGTTTGACAAGACACTTACGGCCAGCGGCCCGCGCACCCAAGTCTGCGTCGGCCGCGGGCAAGAAAGCTGGTCGGCGCGCGGGCGGGAAGGCCCAGGGAGCCCGCTTGGGGCAGCCCCCCAAGGGGGCCGCGGCGCCCCCGCCCCAGGAAGGCCCAGGGAGCCCGCTTGGGGCAGCCCCCGAAGGGGGCCGCGCGTCCCCAGCCCAAGGAGGACGCGCCTCCACAGGACGAGGGCTGCTATCTCGACCATTTTCCACACCTCTCCATCTTTATCTACGCTGCCATCGCCTTCTCCATCACCTCCTGCATCTTTACCTATATCCATTTACAGCTTGCTTGAGTGACCAGGGCGGGGTGGGGTGGGCGCAGAGTTAATGGGGGAGGGGAGAAGAAGGGCTCAGCATTTGTGTTTTCAAGATGCGCCGCGCCCCCTGTATTCAGCTTTATTTCCCTGTTGTCACTGTCTTTGCTTAGCTGCCCATCAGTAGGAAGTCCAAAGTAGCTGCTGGTAATGAAATAAAGGTGCTATTTGCACCTGCAGATTGGGGGCGGGGTAGTCAGCCGTCTACGTTTTGCATTCCGGAGTGCACTGTGTTACTAGAATAATTTCCCTGACCCCTACTGTTTTGTAACCTGGAGACTTGGTATGCAGGTAGCCCATCATTTTGGGTTTGGGGATCAAAAATAAGACTGCCCTTTTGTTCTTTGGGGGATGAGTCAGACCCAGGCCTGGGGGGTCTTCCAGAGAAGGCCCCGCGGGGAGGGTCGGCATAGGCCCGGAGCTCTGTGATGCTGCATCGCCCCCAGGAGGAGCTAGCTGTGTCCCAGAGTCCGCGCAGTCAGAACTCTGCGCGAGAAGCTTGCAGACGCGGGCGCGCAGCGGGCAGAGCCAGATCGCTGGACGTGGTGAGTGGTGTTTCTTCGGGTACCATACCATGCCACCAGGGACTCAGGCTGACCTGGAGTGTACGTTTTTCTTGCCTTAGGCTTTGTTGCCACTACGCAGCGGAGCTGAAACTCGCAGCCAGAGGAGCTGTCCGACCCAGGAGGCCAACTCCGGATGTGTCCTAGACTGCGAAGGACCGGCGGCTACAGATTTTCTGGGATTCCAGCCCAGAGCTTGTGCGCTCCGCAGGATGAGATTTTTGGGGTCCCTGACTGGGGTCGGGCAGGAGGGCTATTATTGGGACTCTGGGGTGGCTTCATTCTAGCCCAGAGCCCTTCTGAATCTGTAAGACCCAAGAGGAAGGGGCTGGTGAATCTGTCATTGACTAGTTTGTGTTGAAAACCACCCGACCCCTAGGAATTTGTCACCTCAGACCCAGAGGGCCTAATATCAGTAACCATCCTGGCAGATTATTCACCCGCCTGCCACCTGTTAAATATCAAAATGCAGCTAACATTGCATATAGTTTACTTGGAAATGTCTGTAACTGTGGCACCTCTGTAGAATAAACCACCTCTTTTTCAGTCTCCTTTATATTCAGTTCTTCCTTAATTTCCAGCTATTCAGTGGGGCCTGCAAACTTCCTAGTCTACTCCAAACTACCCCATGATCTTCACAGCATCTCTACTGCCCCTCCAAAACAAACTTCAATCCGTATCTAGTATTCCAAGACACAGCATCTCCCTCCACCAGTTATACGCACTCTTTAATGGCACCTTTCTACCTATCGGTTCTCCATAACATGCCAGTATCCAGTTCTACCATCCCTTAACAACAGGTCTGCCAATATCCCATTGGCATTACCTACTGTCCCTCAGCATTTAGTCTTCATTTGCTTCCTAATACACTTCCCCAGCTAAATTCTGGAATTTGCTGCTTGACTCATGCAGCTGGGATCTTTATAAGCTTAGTGTTTTCCAATACCAGAGCCTGGTCATTTCCTAGTCCTGACTTCTCATAATCCTGGCTTCAATATTCCCCTGAGTATCCAGCCTCCCTTTATTTTAAAATTCATCATGCTATTACCCAAATACTTGACCACTGTTGCCCCAATATTATACTCTAGCCTTCCTTAACATTTACCTCATTGCTGCTGTCCTCAATACTGAGCTCACTAAGCCAACCCAAATTCAATCACCTTCTTCCCATACCCCCATGTTTTCTCCTATTGGCTCACTGTTTTCCCCCATACCTGCTAGTCTCCTTGAAATTTCTGGTTCCATTGAGCTCCAATGTTTGGCCTGTATTTTATTTTCTTTCCTCCTCCTCCTCCTCCTCCTCCTCCTTCTTTTTTTAATTTGCTGTAGGGAGGGACCAGCAGGTGGCATGGTGGTTAAGGTGCTGGACACTCCCACATGGCTAACTACGGTTCAAGTCCCACACCTGGTGGCTTGCTCCCCACCTCCCTCCACCCCACCCCGTGTGTGTCTCTCTTTAGTCAAAGTTTAAAAGAAAAGGGAACCAGCAGTTAGCGTAATGGCTATGTCGCTGGACTCCCACGTAGTCGACCGCGGTTCGTGTCCCGGACCCGGTGGCTTAAAACTCACGCCGGGCGCGTGTGCGTGCGTGCCCAAGATCCCGAGAGGAGAATGGAGGAGAAGGGATTGCGGCGTGACCATCCCCCCTGGGGGGTGATTTCTCGCTTTCTATCTCTATGTCTCTCTCTGTCTGTCTGGCGAGCGCACGCGCCCTACAGTGAAAATCTCTCCAAAAAAAAAAAAAAGAAAAAAAAAAGTTTAAAAGAAAAAATGAATGAATAAAATTAGATAAATAAATAAATATTTTTAAAATTATTACAAAAAGAAAAGAAAATTTGCTAGAGGGTACATGGGCTCACTAGAGACAGAAAAGGAGAGGAAAAGTGAGAAAGCACTCCCCTAGAGGGATGACCATGCAACAATCCCTTCCTTCTCCATTTTCCTCTTGGGATTTTGGGCACTCATGCACACACACCCAGCATGTTTCTGAAACCACCAGTTGGCCATGTGAGATCCAGCCACCTTAACCACCATGCCATCGGCTGGCCTACCTCTCAGGATTTGGGGGCAGCATGCATGCACATGTGCCCTAGTGTGTTTTCCAGCTGCCGGGTCTGGGAAGCAAACCATAGTTGGCCATGTAAGATCCAGCCACCTTATCCACCACACCACCAGCTGCCCTCCACTCCCTCTTTTCTATTTGATTGTTTGCCAGTGGGCACATGTACTCACCAGAGAGAGACAGAGAGAGGGAAAGTGAAAAGGCACCTTTACATGGGGATCACACTGCAATCCATTTCTTCCTGCTATCGGGATTTTGAGCATGTACACACAGGGTGTTTCTCAACCACTGGGTCAGAGAATGGAACAGCAGGGTTGCCCATATGGAATCCAGCTGCTTTAACTACTAGTTCACAAACCCAGTCCTTGCCCTGTATTTTCGAAACCTTTAACATCACTGTTTATCTGATCTGGCCAATGTTTCTCTTATGTAATTTAAGTTTCCCAGGATATATGATCACATATTAGAACCTATCTAATTTCAGTTACTATTTCCTTAAATTGAGCTTTCAATTGTCCTCCAATTTCTGGGCTTCCAGTAAGAGATTACCTTGTCCAAAAATAAGCTTTTTTCTGTCGGCTCAGTATTTTCAGGGTTTGTCCATAAAAACAAATGGGCCCAATTTTGGTCCTTGTGCCATGTTACTCAAGAATCAAATTCTAAAGAGTCTTATTGGCCTAGCCAGGGTCACAACCCCACCTTTAGCCAAAAGGCAGAAGAGACACTCTAGTAGGTAATCCTGTATAGCATGCAATAGAAAAGAAAGTTTCTCAAAGGAAAATAGAAGTGCCATGGCTATTAGGAAGGTAAAAATAACAAACATCCACTAAATTGACTTTTAGCCAGCCACAAGTGTTGAAGAATTAACTGTTTTAGGCAACTGTCTTATTATATTTTGGGTTATCAGGGGCTGGGATCAGGGGAAGATATATGGAGACAGTGGTTTCTGAATATTATGGAACAGTAGTAAGTTTAAGTTTAGAAAACAGAGTTTAGCTATTTGGGCCAATGGAACTTGATATTAGAACAATGGATTAATTTTTCTTTTTTTTAAACAAAAGGAAAAGATCGTTGATTAAGTAAGAGTAAAAATTTTCTTCTGAGAGGTATGAGCAAGCCTCAGCTGAGAAAGAGTGGCTCAAAGGCCTAGATTAATTTTTTTTTTAAGTTCCTCCATGAGTGAGAGAGAGAGAAGCAGAACCAACAGGTTTCTGACATCACCATCCAGTCCCAGCTTCAGCCAGCCCTGGATCATGGGCATGAGTGTCGTGTGCTCAGGGGTTTCTGGAGGGGAACCCAGAACCCTCTCAATTAGATCAGTCTTACAAAGTCTCACATTTTACCACTACACCACCATCCAGTCCCCATTGTTAATTTTTGATATGTGTCATTGCTGATGAAGTAACAAACATTGATCAGCGAAACAGATACAACCCTTCCCTTCATGGAGTTCAGCTGGCAAATAATGGAACTTACCTCATGGCAGGCTTAGTGTGGTATATAGCATAAATTCATTGAATTCTCACAATCCTATGAAGTAGGTTGTATTATTCTCCCCATTGTACAGATGAGAAAACAAGCATAGGTGACATGATCTGCCTAAGGTCACAGCACTCGTAATGGATTAAGATTTTGAACCCAGGCATTATTACTGGAGTGTGTACCCTTGGTTTTTACTAGTTTATTGAGATATAATTTACAGAACACACAACTCATTCCATGTTAAAGTATACATTCAATGGCTTTTAGTATATTCAGAGTCATGTGACCATCATCACAATCAGTATTAGGACATTTTCATCAGCCCCAAGAGAAACCCCACATCCTTAACCCAATGCCCTCTAACCCATCCCCAAACAAATCCCTATGCAACCACGATAAAATTTTTTGTCTCTACAGATTTTCCTATTCTGTATATTTCATGTAAATGGCATCATACAGTATATGGTCCTTTATGAATGACTCCTTTCACTTAGCATGCTTTCAAGGCTCATCCATGTATTAAAGCTTCATTTCCTTTGCTAAGTAATATTCCACTGCATGGATATACCACATTTTATTTATCCATTCATCAGTTGGGCATTTGTGTTGCTTTCACTTTTTGACTGTTATGAACAACACTGCTAGGAACATTTGTGTATGCATTTTTATGTGGGCATACATTTTAATTTCTCTAAGCGTGGGACTGCTGGATTTGGTAATTCTATTTAACCATTTGGAAAAATCAGAGTAACTACCACTTCTCATTCCCACTAGCACTGTATGAGACTTCCAATTTCTCCATTTCCTTGTCAAATTACCTATCTTTAAAAAAAGAAATTATGATTATCCTAGTGAGTATTAATTGGTATCTCATTAGTTTTGATTTGCAGTTCCTTGATGGCTAATGATGTTGAGCATCCATTTACATATGGCCATTTGTATATCTTCTTTGGAATATTTACTCACATCCTTTGTCCATTTTATTATTTTTTATTTATTTTAGAGAGAGAGATTTTTTTGCTACATTATTTGCTATTTTTGCATGTGCTCACCAGAGAGAGAGAGAGAGGGAAAGCAAGAAACCACCCCCCACAGAGGGATGGCTATGCCACAATCCTCACTCCACCATTCTCCTCTCAGGATCTTGGGCACACATGCACACATGCCTGGCATGAGTTTTAAGTTGCCAGTCCAGGACTTGAACTCCAGTCAACTATATGGGATTCCAGCGACATAACCATTACACCATCTGCTAGTCCCTATTTTACTTTACGCACACATACACACCACTTGGTGTGTTTTTGAAGCCACCAGGACTGAGATTTGAAGCATAGTCAGCTATGTGGAATCTGGGCCTTAATTATTTTTCTTAACTGTCTTGTCTAGCACATTCAGCACAAATTGTGAGAATAATGAACATCTTTTCCATTCCTGATTTTTTTTTTTTTTTTTGACTAGAGAGTGCATGCACTCACCAAAAACAGAGAGAGAGAGAGATGGAGCCAGCAGGCATAGTGGTTAAAGCTCTGGATTCCCATATGGTCGACAGATTCAAGTCCTAGACCCAGCGATTTGAAACTCATGCCAGGTGTGCGTGGGTGCACTCAAAATTCCGAAAGAATGGAGAAGGGATTGTTGCATGGCCACCCCTCTAGAGGGTGATTTCTCATTTTCTCTCTCTTGGTTTTTCTGGCAAGCACACCCACCCTATAACAAAAAGCGCTCTCTAAAATAAAAGGAAAAAATAAGAGAGAGAGAGAGAGAGAGAACCTGCCAGTGGGGGGTCATGGTCATGCCACAATCCTTTCTCCATTTCTCTATCTCACCAGGATTTGGGGCACACATGTGCCTGTGTTCCTCAAGCCTCTGGGGCTGAGAACTGAACTACTGTCAATCATGTGGGATCCAGCTCTCTTTTTTTGGAGAGGTTTTTTTTTTATAGTATGTGAGTGCTCACTGGAAAGACAGAGATAGAAAACGAGAAATCAACCCCCAGGGAGATGGCCACGCCACAATCCCTTCTCCTCCATTATCTTCTCAGGATCTAGGGCACACACACACACACACCCAGCATGGGTTTAAGCCATCGGGTCCAGGACTTGATCCCCAGTCAACTACATGAGAGTCCAGCAACATAACCATTACGCCACCTGCTAGTCCTGGGATCCAGCTCTCTTAGCCACCTAGGTTACAAGGCTGGCCCTTCATTTCTGATCTTAGGGAGAGTCAGTCTTTAACCTGTGAGTATAAAGTCAGCTGTGGGTTTTTTTAGATACCTTTTTCAGGTTAAGGAAATTACCTTCTATTCCTAGTTTACTGAGCGTTTTTGTCACAAAGAAGTGTTGACTTTTGTTAAATACTTTTTAATATAACTATTGAAATGACCATGGGATTTTTTTTTCTTTCATTGTATTGAAGTGGTGTATTACATTAATTCCTTTCGGGTGTTAAACAAACCTTGCATTCCTGGGATAAATACCATCTAGTGATCATGTAAATCTGGCATTACTTGATTTGTAGTTGCAATACTCTAACTTGCCTCTGTGGTCACAATGACTCCTCTTCTGTCTCAAATGCTTTTCTGCCTTTCCCTTATAAAGAAACCTATCACTGGATTTAGGGCCCACCTAAATTCAGAATATGAATTGGAATATGAATATATTTTCAATTGGAATATGAATATATTTCTTTATTATGATGCTCATAAGAATGACATTGGCAATCTTCTCATGTAATAAAGAATACATCTGATCCACACTGTGGCAGGAAACAAGTAAGGGCTCTCAGAGCTGGTGCCAACTGTCCATTCCTGATTGTTTCCTTGGATTCTATATCTTTGCTGTAGCTTTCAGCTAGGTCTCCATGTTTTCCCAGAATCCTTCATTCCAGAGTCAGTTCATCCTCTGCCCTTGCCACTCCTGACCCTTTTAAGACCTAGGTGAGTTGCCCCACGTCGCTTTCACCCAGGCTGCCTCTGAGATCCTGCAGCACCTCTTTTTGGTATGCTGCTGCTCTGCCACCTCAGGGCCAGGGCTGGGGGTGGGAGAACATCGCAGTACCAGAAACAAAGGTGGGGTACATTAATAAATGATGCCTGGACATAAGTCTAACAACCTCACAGAATACATACTTCCTCCCGGATAGATACCTAACTCCTTAGAGAGGAAAGGAAACCCCTGGGTCACTTCAACTTCAGCATGTATAGGATGATTCTTTGTGCCAGGCACATCAATACAAAGTGGATAGTATTTGTTTCTACCATACCCTGCACACAGTAGGAAGCAAGCAGATAAAAGCTGGAACCAGATGTCCATCCCGGCTGCCTTTGCCACCACTCTGCTTCTGTCTATTCTGGGCATTAGTTCACTTCAAGAGGGAAGATAAATGTATGATGGTGGAGGGTATACAGGAAATGGAGAAAAACCACGCTGGAAAACAAAAATAATACAAAAACCCGGAAACCAGACTTAGTACTGTGATATTTTGTAACAGAAAGTAGTTGAAAATACTACAAACACAGGATACGTAAACAAGAAAGAGCTCAGGGAGAGGTAGAGGGAGAGGCGTCAGGTAGGTCGGGAGGGCATGGCAGAGGCAAGGTTTAGACCAAGACTGCTGAATGGACTGGATCTGCTGCTTTAGCTGTGAGCCTTCTTTGATGGTGATAGAACAGGCAATCACAGGCCTGGAGACACCACACGCTCACCCTAGGGCCTGTTTGGAACGCACAGACACATAGGGCACATTCTTGTCTTCACACAGCAGTGGGAGGTGAAGGATGATCTCCAGGGGCTCAGCGTCTGCGGCCATCACAATGAACTCAGAGATGCCTCTGTTGAGGGTTTCAGTGGCCTCATTGGCTCCTTTCCGAAGTTGCTTGTAATTACACAATTGCTGAACGAGGTCTAATAGTTTCTTGGTAAGGTGAGCATCTGTGAGGGGATAGGCCTTCGGATTCACATCAGCCTCAGTCATGGCTGCAGTTCCGCGAGCTCCTCACCCTCAAGGAGAGCTGCTGACGTCAGAGCAGGAACCCAGAATACCATAATTTCTTAATTATATTTGAAAACTCTTTTTCCAAATAAGGCAACATACACAGATTCAAGAAATTGAAACATGAATAATCTTTAGAGATATCACCATCCTACCCACTATAGTAGATTCTAAATAAACTACAAATGTGAAAATAGAATGTTTTCATTTAGGTAAAAAGCTATACTGAGAAAAGAAATATATCCTAATATTATAGACGACAGAAAATCGAAAACCAAAGTCTTTTTAAAAAATGGTATTATTTAATGTACAGGATTGGAAAAAGTACTTCTTGATAACAATCATATTCCAGGTAAACATAGGCTTTCAAAAATCTCTCTATATATTAATACCCTAAACTACTCCTTCTCTACATAAAGGAGAAACTCCAAATCCTGTTCTTTAGGAAGACATGGAGCGTAAGCAATACCATAAGAGCAACCACTATTTCCTCTTTCCTTGGATTATCTAGCATTTTACATGGACTAATTACAGAAAGGAATATTAGACTCCACTGAATTTAAACATAAGACAAAGCTATGATTTCCCACTGAAGGTACAAAATATTTGATGTTTATGAGTATACATAAATAAGTTAGATAAATATTAGGTTCATTGCAAATTCTAAAACTGAAGTATTAAAAAAATGGATATAAATACCTTTCAGTCAGTAAATATAAATTTCACTCTTTAATATACTCCATGCTTCCTTTTCTATCCCAGTGGTATTTATTCCTTTTTTACCCAAGGTCTTCTCCAATTAGATGCTAAATAGTAAAATTACTTAACATCACTAGGGCCTTAGTCATGAAACCAATTTATTTTGGAAACAAAAGCAACTTCTTTCTTCTTTACCAAAGAGCAAGGTTATCATTTTTGCTACTTGCTTATTTCAACAGTTATGTAGTTACATTAAAAAAAAATGCTATGGGGCAAAAGCATCTTTGTTGGCTGTTCCAATGTAATGACTGGCTAAAAAAGGAGGATCAAAGTCACAAAGGACTCATGACCAGTGTACAATTTTATAAGTATCTTTGGTCATGTCTTCAATTCTTCAGTTATGCTCCCAAATGAGCCAATATTAAATCAAGAATCCCTTCCCCCTTATAAAGGCCACTAAGGAACAAATGCTTCGAAGATGAGTTCAAGGTAGTAAATAGATACTTCAGGAGAGTAGACTGAAATAGAAGGAAGACATGGATTACAGAAAGAGTGAATAAGAATATCTAACAAAATATAAGGTTCACTGAACAGTCATTGGTGTGAATTCTTCATCATTTACTTTTTGGCAGGCATTTCTCCCCTTTATTTAGAAATAAAAGAAACTTATTTAGAAATTAAGAAATTTTCAGTTTTTTGCCTTCTTTTTCCACATTGTCTCTAATGTTCTGTAGTCTTTTGGAGTTCTGGACCAGAGACACCAAACTCTCCCTAAAATCACTAATCCCATGACCTCTGCCAACATTTTCAAGTTCATCAAAAAAAGTCAACATCTGTTTCAGTTTGGCCTGAACAATTTTTTGCTCTTCTAATTCTGTAAGAAGTGCCTGTTTAGTATATAATTCAGTCTTATACTTCTCTTGTAACTGTTCAATTTCTTTTTGGAGAAGCTGGAATTCTTTCTCAGTATAAGGATGTGTCTCTTGACATTTATCTTCAGGAAGCAAGATGTTTGGGGGAATACGTAAAATTAACTGCAAAAACAGTTGCTCCATTTTGCTGAAAAGGTTATCAAAACGTCCTTTCATGAAACAAAGAAACTTCTCTGTGCATTTACGAATCTGGACTGGGCTAATCTCAGAGTCTGGGATGCCATCCAGTCTCTTCAGAATAACCTGTTCAACAGCTTGCATCACTTCAAATAAGTAGTCTTGAAATGCAATGTAGATCCTAAGCATGCAAGTTTGTGGTGTGAAGCCTAAGAACTGGGCCTCATAGGTCATTGGATCAACAGACATCTTGGATTATTTTACTATGTTATTTTTAATTGTGAAGAATCTGCAAATGTGAAAAGATAAAAATTCATTTGGATAAAAAAGTCATTTGAAGAAAATAACAAATAACATTACAGATAGCAAACAAAGAAACAAATAAGGCGTTTGACAGTTTGATACCTTATGCCACTTCTAATCCTACTTGCCCACAATAAGATACAAATCATTCCTTTTCTGTGGATCTATCAGCCTATCCCCTCTCTCATTATTCATTTCCCTCATCTCTCATTTATTGAAGCACATGGTTCAATCTTTTACTTTTTTTTTTTTTTTGTCTTTCTTAACACAGGGTCTCACTCTTGTCATCCTCATGTCTTCCCCTCTGTGCTGGGACTACAAATGCCAGCCTCCATGTCAAGTTCTTTTTTTAGGTACAGTTTTGCTATATTGCCCAGGTCAGCCTCAAGCTTATAATCCTTTTACCTCAGCATTCCCAAACCACTGGGATTACACTTATTACTGTGTCCAGCCTTTTAGGACAGGGAATCAAATTCAGGCCTCCCATGTGTCCCAATCTGTGGAGCACAGCATCTTGGCATCACACGCCTCAACTTTGAAGTCTCGACAGCTGACATAAGTAATTCTTAGTCTCTTGACCTTCAGTGACCTATAGCTTCATTCTTTTAGCTACATGATCCCTGATATTTGTAACCTCTCTCCTCAACTGCGCCTACTTTTTGACCATTACCTCCTATACTATTCTTCCAACTCTCATCCCCACACTCACATTACACCTTAATCTTCAAGTCTTAAAAGCTCTCTGACACTTTCTTCCTTGCTCTCAGTCTTTCTCACTTAACTTTTTTCCCTAATCATTTTAGGTCCTAGGATCTATCACTTGAGCCACTTTCTTGCAAATGTCCTCAATTTCCTTGTCTTTCAACCTAGCCAGCTGGAAAAAAAAATTCCCAATTAGGAGATGAACAAGCCTCTTGTCAGCTTTACAATTCCAACACATTTTTTCAAGGGTCCAGGAATCATTCCTTTCAAATGTACACACCTAGGAAAATAGCATCCTTATTTCTCTGTCACAGTGGTAGTTTAACCTAGGTATGCTTTTCTGAGGTGTAACAATATGCTCGTCATAAAAATAAAGGAATTTTATTATACCTCTAGATAAAGACAATTAACTACAAGAAACCGCTATTTCAATTACCAGGTGTATTTAGGATGAACCTTATGAATGAATGTGTAATAAATGGTACAGTCAAATCTGAAGGGTAGACAAGATGCTGTTAATCTTGAGAATTTATGTATGCAATGGCTAAAGAGTAATTATAACTACCTGAATACACAGATAGGGTTAGGATAGAATTTCTTTCTGTTTTGGTAATCTTGTTCACAGATTACCTATGATATACTGTAATCTGGACATGCTTATTCATTAATAAAGTGGCTATCTTTTCTGTTTTGTAGTGAAAGTCCTCTAGGACTAGAACTTGAACCATATTCAGTCATGTAGGATCTGGCTCCCAAAGCACAAGGCTTAACCACTGCACCATGAGCCACTCAAAGCCATTTTACATAAGAGACTAGAGCATCCACAGATTTTGATATTCACAGGGATCCTGAAACAAAGACAGCAGCAGATTACTTTATTTATTTTTTTTTAAATCTTTACTGTAGGGTATGTGTGCTCACCAGAGAGAAAGAGTGAAAGTATAAAAGCATCCTCCCCACCTGGGGGGATGGCCATGTCAGTCCCTCTCCTCCATTTTTGGCCAAAATTCGATACTATTCAACATTATAATTACTGCCAGTTTGATAAGTGTAAAACATTTTTTTGAAAACCAAAACTAGTCCCACACACAAGTTGGACACTGAGAACTTAAACTACCTATATCCTCCTCTCTCCCCAAATCCACCTATTTACACTTTTAAAATAATTATTTTTATTTTTTTAAGAATTATTTTATTTAACTTTATTTATTTATTTTAATTCGACCAGAAAGGGACACAGAGAGAGAAAGTGAGAAAGCAAGCTGCCAGGTCAATCATGTGAGAGTCCAGAGCCCTTAACCACCATGCCCCCTGCCAGCCCCTATTATTATTATTATTATTATTTAATTTGCTATAGGGCACATGCACACACCAGAGAGAGAGAGAGAGAGAGAGAAAGAGAGAAAGAGAGAGCAGGCTGCCAGGTCTGGGACTTGACTAGTGGTTGACCACGTGAGAGTCCAGCACCTTAACCACACCACCTGCTGGCCTTACTATTTACATTTACTCTTTTAGGAGACCATATTAATATTTTCACTGCTCAAATGGCTTGATTGTTTATTAAGAATGCCTTGGGACCAGCAGATGGCCTAATGATTATATGGCTGGACTCCCATGTGGTTGACCATGGTTCAAATCCTGGACCTGGTAGCTTGAAACTCACATCGGGTGCATGTACATGCATTCCCAAAAGAAGAATGGAGGAGAAGGGATTGTGGTGTGACTGTCCCCCTGGAAGGTGATTCCTCACTTTCTGTAAATCTCTCCTGCCAGCACACAAGCCCCATAGCAAAATATCTCTCTTTAAAAAAAAAAAAAAAAAAAAAAAAAAAAAATTCTACGAATTCTTTCAGTTATTTCTTAGTCTTTCGCCTTACCCATGTAGTCAACCGTGGTTCGAGTCCTGGACCCAGTGGCTTAAACTCATGCTGGGTGCATGTGTGTGCATGCCCAAGATCCTGAGAAGAGAATGGAAAAGGGATTGCAGCATGGCCATCTCCCCTGGGGGGTGATTTCTCGCTTTCTATCTCTCTGTCTCTCTGTCTTCCTGGCGAGCGCATGTGCCCTATAGCAAAAACCTCTCCTCCCCCCCCCAAAAAAAAGCCTCAAAAGGGCTGGCCTCATAGCCTAGATGTTAAGGGATCCAGATCCCACAGGGCCAACTGGGGTTCAAATTCCAGTTCCCAGGACTTGAGAAACACACCCAGTATGGGTACATGCATACCCAAGACCTGGAAAGCACAGAGAAATGAAGGGATGGTGGCAGGATCATGCCCCATTGGAAGTTGTCTTCTCTCTCTCTCTCTCTCTCCCTCTCTCCCTTTCTCTGGCAAGCACAGGCACCCTGTGGAAAATTAAAAAAATAATAATAATAAAAGATACAAAGAACTTTCCAAAAGTTGGATGAACTCTCCGATGTGAAGCACCTACAATTTACACCTTAAGATTCTATGGAACCCAGACAGACAGCTCCATGGCTCCTGTGATCTAGCCATTTGGGGAGAAAGGAAGATGTCCCACTGATAACTGGGCCTCCAGCATCCAAAACTCGCGTGAACAGCCCTTCTTCAAGAGACAGACAGCTCCATGGCTCCTGTGATCTAGCCATTTGGGGAGAAAGGAAGATGTCCCACTGATAACTGGACCTCCAGCATCCAAAACTCGCGTGATTGAACTTCCAAGTTTGGGAAGAAACCGATCATCCACCAGATGACTAGAAATTGCTGCAGGAGCACAAGAAATATGGGTAAGCAGGAAAATACCTCTCCCACAAGGGAAAAGGATAGCTCCTCTTTATCCACACACAGTTCAATGGAAATCATGGAAATGTCTGATAAAGAATTCAGAACATTCATAATGGCAAAGCTAACAGAGATGGAAGAGAAGGGAGACAAGGAACTGCTGAAGAGGAAGGAGAAAGGAGCTGAAGAGTTCCAGGAGGTGAGGAAATTCATGCTAGATCTAAAAGAGGAATTTCACACTTTACAAAAGAATCAGATGGAACTGTTAGAGATGAAGGCTATAATACAAGAAGTCAAAATCTCCCTTGAAAGTATTAAAAGCAGACTAGATCATACAGAAAATAGAATCTCTAATGTAGAAGAGAAAATGGTTGGCCTAGAAAAATCCACCGCGAAGACTGAGAAAATGGCCCCAAAATTTGAGAATAATATGCGAGAAGTACTAGATACCATCAAACGTCCAAACATCCGGATAATAGGCATCCCAGAAGGTGAAGAGACTCATAAGGGCATTGATAATCTATTCCATGAAATCTTACAAGAAAATTTTCCAAACCTGGAGAGGCACTCAAAGATTCAGTCCCAAGAAATACAGAGGACCCCAAATAGAATCAACCCAAGAAGATCTTCTCCAAGACACATTATAGCCAGATTGACCAAAACCACAGACAAAGACAAGATACTAAGACTGGCAAGAGAAAAAAGGCAAGTTACCTACAAAGGGTATCCCATCAGACTAACGGCAGACCTCTCATCGGAAACAATGAGAGCGAGGAGAGAATGGGAAAATGTATTCAAAGTATTAAGGGAAAAGCAATTTCAACCGAGAATTCTGTACCCAGCAAGGTTATCGTTCATTTGGGAAGAAAAGACACGAACTTTCCCAGATAAACAAAACCTGAAAGAATTTACCAGCACCAGACCGGATCTCCAAGAAGTTCTTAAGGGAGTGCTATGTCAGTAAAATTAAATGCAGACACACAGAAATAAGAGTTCAGAAACTAAGAAAATGGGCAACTTAATTGTAGGGCCAAAAGCTGGAGTTGAGTATTACATCCCAGATTTCAATCTGGAACATCGAACCTCAACAGATACAGAAGAAAGATTAAGTACATGAGACTGAACTGATGAAACAGTATTCTACGACTTGACTAAAATATTGCTGCTTTTCTTCTAAGCTTTGTTGTCTGGTTTTAAGGACTTTTGTCCTGTCTTCAGCTATCAATAGATTCATGTTCCGACTATTTGAACAGAATACTAACCTGTTTCTAGGCTTTAAGTTTCAAAGAAATATCCTTACCAGTTCAAAACTGCTTTTCTTGAAACCATCGGCTGATCTTGCTATTGAAAGTAGTTAGATTACTTATGATATTGTGTGATCAACGAAATGTTGGGGGAAAAGGGATTGAAAACAACTGTAGACAGCAGAGATAGTGTAATAAGAGAGTGGAATAGGGCAGAGGGCTAGACATGGGGTAAAAAACATATATATGAAAGTAGAAATGGAATATTATGGATGATAACATGCATTATTAAGCCACTATGCAGTATATTCTAGATGGGAAACCACATTTAGAATGTTGTGATGATGCTCAGGGAATGAATGTAAATTAATAAAAAAAAATTTCAGAAGAAAAAAAAAGGCATTAGAAATACCTATTTGATGACTGCAGTTAAGCTATATAGCCCTAGTTAGGTGCTACTTTATAGTATGCTCATTCTATTCACTGAGGTTTGTTTATGCCTAAAGTCAGACTTGTGTTCACGGATATGTACATATCAGCTGTGCTTGCTATTGAAAATATTTAGATTAAGATATTTAGTGAAACAATAAAATGGGGGAGGCATAGAAAGCAACAATAGATACCAGACACAGTGTGGGAGGAGGGTGGGAGATGGCAGAGGGTGAGATAGGGAATCAAGGACGGGAAAAAAGGCAAAATATACAGAAAACAATAAATGGAAAATGATTTGTTGACAATAAAAAAAAAAAAAAGAAAAGATTCTATGGAACCCCTTGCCTTGCTGTTTCCACCTATTCTGTGTGATCTCTGCTCAATTCTAATAAAGCATCCACAGTGAAGGACTCAACTTAAACCAAATGTCCAATTTTCAAAATTAAAATATTGCCCTTCTTCTCTATCAGACACTACCAATGTTCTGCTGAGGTAGTGTTCTCCCTAACCACGGTGAACAATAAACCAACACTGATTTAATAACTGGTTGTAAAAGTGATACCTGGGGGAAGATTTCTCCATCTATGAATTACCCATTCATATCCTTTCAAAACCACTCTCTCAAATCTCTTGTTTCCTGTCATAAACTAACAAACATCTTCAGTGCTTCCATATGACCCACCTTTATCCAGTGGTATGATCTTCTTAACTTTTCTTGCCATCATCTGGCTACTCCTTACTCCAACAAAACAAAGCTATTTTTTTCCCTCAAGGAAGCATGCCTTGGCCAGATCCGTAAAGGGCCATCAAATAACTTCCCTGATGAGCCAACCCTTTTAATTCTCATCGGGCCCTCTCTCCAAGAACTGACCGGACAGGTTTTACACTCTGATCTTTTTTGGTAGAATTAGAGTTCCTGAAGGTAGGCTGGACACCAGGACGCTCTGGTCAATATTTGCAGATTAAATGCAGAAGATGCCCAGGCCATCTTGGCGAGTTTAGTCGCCCAAGACCCCGCAACTACGTCGGACGGGACCCAAGAACCACCGAGCAGGGGCTGCTTCCAGCCGGTTTCCGTCTCCGGTCTGGCCCTGCGGCCCCGCTGCATGCCGGGACCTTCAGGTCGGCGCCCGCGGCCAGGCCGGCGAGACTGACCTAGCAGGCCGCTCGGCCGCCCCAGCGAGGATGCCCAACCCAGTCCCGCCCCTGCCCTCAGAGAAAACGATGTCCCGCGGCACTTACCCTAGCGCACTCAAGGGTGACGAATTCGATCACACACCGGCTTTTCGCCACCTCCTTTAAGCCAGCCTCTCCGGATAGGCGGCACCGCAGGCTCCCCAAATTCCGACAGATGCGCCCCTCAGCAAACAAAAGCAGAGGCGGGATGCTATCGCGCTCCTGATTGGCTGGCCGTCAAGCGGAGGGGGCATCTGGATTGGTGACAGAAAAGTGCCAGGCGGGAAAACTAGCTGTGGCCCGCGGGGATTCGAGGAAGGAACCGGTACTTACTTTCCTCTCTCTGACATTGGTGGGTAGAGAAGCCAGGCTCAGGCGCCGCAGGGACGCAACTCGTGATTGGCAGATGGGCTTTCCTTACGGCCGTAACGATTGGTGGCTGGCCGATTGCGCGGCGCTGATGGGACAGCAGCGGGTAGGCTGAAGGATCGGGCGCTTTGAGTCCGCCCGGCTGCCCAGGCCTACTGGCGGAAGGGGAAGTGGGGGGGGGGCCGGCGGCGGTGGGGAAGATGGCGTACCAGAGCCTCCGGCTGGAGTACCTGCAGATCCCGCCGGTCAGCCGCGCCTACACCCACGCCCG